GCCCGGGGGGGAGAATCAGCCTAAGCCGCCACAGAGGAAGAAAACAGATATCGGGAGGAAGTGTGAGAGAAAGAAGGACGCGACGGAGGGAAAAGGAAAGAATTGGACCGAAGGAGGAAACGAGGAAAGGAGGAAAGGAGGAAAGGAAAGATTAAATACCAGACAAGGATCAAAAGGAAACCCGAGGAGTCCTTTTGAGGCCACGTCAGAAGTTGCAGGAGGGAACCGGGAGAAAGGAGATCGGGTGTGTGGGTCAGTGCACCCTGGTTTCTAGTGTGCGCGCTGTTGTTTACGCTGACCGTGTGTGTGCGTGTGTGTGTGTGTGTGTGTTTGTGTGCCTGCAGACTTTGAGGAGCAGTTGTACGACACCAAGCTAACCGGTCAGACTTTCCGGCATCCGTCCTCGCAGAGCTCCGAGGACGCGTCCACCTCGCTCAGCCGCTCGCCCGTCTCCTTCAACAAGAGGTCGGACTTCATCTTCCTGGTAAACACACACACACACACACACACACACATGCGTGTGCGTTGGTGGATATTCCGTCATACGGCGCCCTCACACCAAATGTCATCTGTCTGGTGATGAAACACACGACTCAAGTGAAAAGGCAAAAACACACAACCTTTTCCCTCCGTTCTATTAACTCAGTCCAGCAGGCGTCTCGCAGGGTTTGTGGGTCCGTTGATGGTTTTGGAGGAGACAGGAGCCCCACTGACGTCTGGTCCTCGCAGTGCCTCTAAACCCCTCTGAGATCAGCTGTAAATAGAACACAGAGCTGAACAACGCTCTTCATGGAACATGCAGCTCACAGCGGTGATTTTCATTCTGCGAGTAAAGGATCTGAATACCAGTCCACGGTTCTATCATACATGTTTTTTGTTCGGCAAAAAAAAGGAGCTCGGTCACGCGACTTCACGTCTCCAGCACTGAGCTACAGGAGGACCCGTGTCCCCGCGAGGACGTGTCGGTCGTCTCCTTTAACTCTCAGCTCGACTCGTTTGACGTCGAAGCACGCGGTCGGCTTTGAGAGGTGCTGAAGCGCCGACTCATTTCCTGTTTTTGGACTGATTCATTCTGCTGTTAAAAAGGCGTCTGAAAGGAACCCCGGCTTCCTGTGACGCCAACGCACTAATTTCGGTGTCACTAATCCCGCTCCAGCTAATGCCCGCGTTGTGACACGCCGCCTTTGTTGTCATCCCTGTCATATCAAACACTAGCGCTGAATAACCCAGAAAGCTACTGCTCAGTATGTCCCGCCCCCTTTTGTTAGGTTTGTCGGCGTTAGTCATCTTCCCTCTTCACTCTCGGCAGGTTTTCTGTAAACAAACGTCGCTAATGCTCCATCGGGAATGAGAATAGCAGAGGACATCTGGGCCTTGTGTCGTTAGCTCGTTAGCAGAAAGGACTAAAAAGACGCCTCCGCGGCTAATAGCGCTCGCTTCATTCTCCCCAAAGCGATGCCGTTCATGCCATGTCGATTGGACTCCCGCGGCAAAATGGCCGCACGTTTCCTGCATGTTGGCGCCGCGTTGGGTTAAGGCCTCTCTCTCTGGTGGGGCTCAGTTTAGCCTCTGAGGCTAGTTGGCTACGTGACACATGTACCGTTCTTACTTTGTTCTTGTGGGCGAGTAGTTGACCTCCCGCTGCATTGATTTCTGCTTCTAAGCCAGAAACATCAGCTTTGAAGGAAGTTTAATTTACTGTGCGAGATAATTGAAACTGGAGGTCTACAAACAACTGTCTCCTCCCTCAAATCACACATGTGCTTTCCGCTAAATCTTGTGAAACAGACGAGGAATAACTGTGAAATTCTGTTTTTAAAGACTTAAAGAAGAAGACAATTAATTCAAACATTGACCCCATGAAATGTGAAAGGCGGTATCTCCCAACTCTGCAGCATGCGCTTCCCTCCGAAGCCGGTGGGGACCAAAACAGAGCTAAAAGAGAATGACCGATGCCCTTCGATTGGCCAGAAGTAATCTCCAGATTAGGGGGCGGGGCAAAGCCGAGTCCGAGCCGGAAACCCGAGACAAAAGCGTCTCCATCCTCTTCCCTCCTCCAGCCGGCCTCCAAGCAGCTCTACGACGATGAGACCGCCTCCTCCGTGTTCGGCCTGAGGTCCGCCGCCGACCCCTCGCCCTCCCCGACCCCGTCGCCCTGCGGCTCCGATCGCCCGCCGCCGGGCTGGAACAGCAGCAACCACCACCACCACCGCAGCAGCAGCAGCGGCAGCACCCCCCCCCCCGCCGCCGCCGCCGGCGGGCCGCCCGTCGCCGACAAGCCGCGCTGGCAGCTCGGGAGGCGGAGTCACTTCCTGCCGCTGGACGTCACAGGTAGGACCCTTTGGACAAAGTTAGTCCTTTAGTCCTTCTCTGAAGGACTCGTCTGTGGGGAAGCTCATCAGACGCTCTCGTTTTTCATGGTTCTTCACGTGGAACCGTTTCTCTCCTTCTTCTCTGGAAACGAACGGTTGTGGTTGGAACCAGTTTGAAGTTGGGCTGATTGTCCAGTTAGAGAGGAGATGACTTGCTGATGATTACATGGTGGAGCTAAATGGATCATTGATTGACGGACATATTTGGAAACGGGAACCTCAAATATCAGAATCTACTCCTTTTTTCTGTTTTATATAATTGTAAATTGAATATTTGTTGGTATTGTGCGTTGGGCAAAACCCCTCTGGGATTACTTATCATATCACGTATTTATGACCCAGGTATGAACGTTCTGTGACTAATGATCTAGATTACCACCAAAGATTAGATTGTATTTGAAGGAATCCGCTCTTGGATCTCCGATGACGTGAAAACGCTGTACTTTTTTAAATGTAGTGTCGATGTCGTTGGTTTAGCGAAGAGAAAGAAAACGGCTGACTCTGTTCTGCTGTCTTTGTGCCTCTGAGCAAGAATAGGATTCACACGTTTGCTGTGGTTCTCCAGAGAGACGCTTCTTGCTCTGACGGTTGTAAAAGTGAGAGTCGTGGGAAATTAGACGGAAGGAGAATGCAAAGTAAATATTGGTCTTATTGCTCTTTTTGAGAGCAGTGTAATTTAAATGACTCACTTAAATAGTGTAATCAAACGCAGGTTACTTTCATTATAAGAAATCCTCCTAAATGATGAAAAGGAACCAAACCGTAGCTCGTATTTGCCTTTTTATTGTGATATTTTGTGACTGAGGTAGAGGAGACAAACTATGTTATAAAATAAAGGGATGACGACTGGTCGGGTCACTTTGGATAAAATACCCGTATTGATATTGATCAGCATATATTATCACGCTAATGCTACTGCTACATTTGCATTGCTTTACAGGTAAATATACGTAAAGGTACGCTTCTATGGGTTGCTTATGATTCAGGATTAAAGCCTGCGGTCCTGCTTCATTGGGGAATTGGATTGTAATTGGATCCCATTTGTTCTCACTGTGCGACACAGAAGGTTGAAAACAAAATGCATTTTTTTTGCCTCTTTTAATACGCGAGACGTCATCGCGCAAATGCACGAGCGGGAGGAGATGAAACATGACGAACGATGTTAGAAACTCCACGATCACCTTGTTCCTTCTTCCTCTGCGAGGGGAGCAGCGTGATGCCGAACGTCGTGTTCTTCCTCGGGAAGTTTGAGCTTGTGAGGGAGAAAAAAACGCTGCAGAAACAGAATAAGACGTTGAGAAGATTTTCTTCTTCTGGTCTTGCAGTCGGCTTTGCTTTATGTTTGTGCGTGTTGTGTGTGTGTGTGTGTGTGTTTTGTGTCTTGTGTGTGGTGGGTCATACAGGGAGCAGCCCGCTTTTTTACCACCCCCGGGCTTCTGGCCGCGTCGCCCCCCCCCCCCCCCTTCGTCTCCCCACACATTTCAATGGTTGGGTGTCTCATTCTCCGCTCCTCCCCCATCTCTGCCTTTCTCACCCTTCCCTCACCCACCGTGCGGTGGAGGAGACGGTCAGGTGCAATGATAGAGATGCAGCCTGTGTACTCACTTCCTTCAGAGAGAGATAGAGGGGGAGGGAGGGAGGGAGGGAAAGGGAGGGGAGAGAGTACTTTGAGGAAAGGGTTCGTCCTCACATGAACTCTTCCCCCAAAACACCCCCCTCCCCCCCCGCTCCCTCCCCCTTAGTCAAACCCACAAAACTATAAAATATCACCGGCTTGTTACCGTGACTCCCCCTCTCTCCCTCCCTCCCTCTCCCTCTCTCTCCCTCCCTTCCTCTCTCTTTGCAAACAGGTAGCTTTTTTTGCAGCCAGCTTACTGTTGCCATGGCAACTCGCCGCTCTTCCCCTCTCCTCCCTAAAATAATAAAGAGTGCAGAGGGGAAAGAGACTCATGCACGGTGGAAGAAAAAGGGAGTGAAACTTTCCAGAAGAAGAAGAAGAATGAAAATATTTCTGAATGACGGATAATGAGGGATCGGTTTTGTCCTCTTCACCCTCCTCCTCCTCCACCTCCTCCTCCTCCTCCTCCTCCTCCTCTTGATTTTGAATTGCTGAAGAGAACAGAGAGATAAAAGAGGAGCGAGAGATGCGTTTTACTCTCTATTAATGTTTTCGTCATTAAATCGCCTAAATGACAAAATAATCAGTTTTTCTTATTAGTGTCTCTAAACCAATTCCAGGTTGTTCGTCTCCGCTTTCAGTAAATGAGCGGTCGATACTTTTTTGTTGAGCCTGTGGATTTGGTCATTAAAGCTGCTGGTAAACAGCTTGCAAAGTCGTTTACTACAAAAAGGAAAATGATTTTTTTTTTAAATATCCGTTAGTTATTTCATCCTAAAACCAGAGGTGGTGAATGTTAAAAACCTTTACGACTTTTACTGTTGATCCAATGATCCAGTCTGAAGCTGCTGTGTCTCTCCACGTCTAACTCTGCTAAACAAAGTGTTTATTTTGCGGTTATTGATGGAAAAGAAGCAACAATAACCTTAAGAATGATGTTTTTTGTTTTAATTGAACATTGATGCATATTCTAAGAATAATTCACGCTGCATCATCTGTCTGACTTTGTTTCTCTGTCATACAAATGATCATCATGATCGATCGAAGACGGCGGAGCAGCATTTAAAATTTAAGTTTTTGAATAGTAAGTTGTCGTTTGTCAGGTTTACTTCCGACTGGATGAATGATCCAAGGATTAATTATTAACCGCCACTACTTGTGGGAGAGTTTGGACACGGACCCTACTTGCTCCCATTTGTTTTGACGGAACAGAAATGTCAAAGGGGCTCAAAGGGGAGCAACACAAACGTTGTCTTTGGACTCATTTGGGCCTGTGACAGGGTGAGGGTCTCTACCCAAAGGGGGCACTCCAGAGCCCAGAGACCCCGCGATGAAAGAGCCATTGTCCGGTCCCGCCGGCTAAGGCCGCTGAGGCGGCGTCTATTATTTAAGCCCCCAGACGGCTGTGGAATGCCACTGTTTGACCTCCCCGGGGAAGATGGGTGGAGGAATAGGCCGGGGAGGGATGAGTGGGGCAGATAGACGGTTGGAGAGATTGAGAGGACAAGTAGTCGATGAGATCCCGTCGCTTTGGGATTCTCCTCCTCGCTGATACGTTAAAAGCCCCCCAGGGTCGGTGGTGTTCACTTAAATCGGTCATTTGTAGATTATCCAGCCAGCAAATTGGATTTCTAGCTGCCAAAATTCATTTTGGTGCACAAGCTCATCGCCCAGTCGGGGTGTCGAGACTCTCACAGCCCTCCTGGCTTTTTTTTTTCAGAGAGTCCAAGTGATCGGCTCCCAGAGTCACACGCCAAGTACGGTTTTCCCTTTCGGCAGCCTGCCGGTTCACGCTTTGCACAGCGAGTTCTTGAGTTCAGCCACTCTGTGTTTGATTGTTGAGCTTTGGTGCATTTTGAGTCGTGCTCCGACCGTCTGCTCAGACGAGACGCGGGAACGAGTCCGGCGAGCAGCGGGCACCTCAGCGCGTGGAGCGCAAACACGGAGGTTTCACGGCGGTGCGGCTTTTCAAGCATGTGGCGTTGTTGAAAGAAAGTTGTGTATGACTTTGAGCGTTCATATCCCAACATCATGATGCAGGATGTCACTTAAATGACATGTTGGGAGCTTAAAGTTGTGTATATTTACATGCAATGTTTTTTTTAATGACAACAATGTGGGCGGTTTGAGAGTCCTGGTCCAGACGTGGAGGCGACGGGTGCCGATGAAGACAAATCTTGCACACGTATTTCCTTACATGTGGTGTTTTTATTCTGAAACATTTGCGGGAAGGATTATTACTTTGTATAATTTTAAAATGAAAACTATATTTTTGAGAAGAAGCAGTTGACTGTCGGGCGAGCCGCCTGCTCTGAGTGAAATGAAAACAATAAATCATGCCGACAGGATGGGATTCCTCTCTGCGCATCTGTATCTCCGTAAGAGTCGTGATCTAATTCTTCGCCGCCCTGTCCGCCACCCGGTCGGATTTGCTCTTTTAATCTGTGTCGGGTAAAGTGACTCTGACTGACTTCGCTGTTGCTCTTCGTCTCCTGCAGGTGAAGGGAGAGGAGGGAAATTCCACGGCGTCGACCTCCTCCAGCACTCCCCGTCCCCGTCCCCGTCCCCCTCCCCCTCTGCGGGGGACCCCTTCCCCCAACAGCCCCGCTCCCTGGAGGCCGCCACGGACGCTTTCCACCAGAGCCTCCCGCTGAGGAAGACCCGCTCTGACCTCGACACGACCCCACCTGCAGGTGTGAAGGCTCGGATTTCACTGCCTCGGTTTCCTTTTTCCTTCTCATTTGACACGTGGGACAAGGTTGGGGACACGCCGGCCGTTTGCATGTCGGGCGAAGATCAAAGATTTTCCCAGTTTTTTTTCTGTCTGCTTTTCACAGATGATTTGAAATTATTCAAATGAATGAGATTGATTGGGGTTAACGTCGGGTTAACAATCTCGGCCTTCTGCATCCGCAGTAATCAGTTTAGCTCAGTAAAGGACAGCGATGCCAGCAAGTCCGGATCTCTAATTGATTTATTTACAGCAACGCAGATTAGTATGAAGAATTTATGTTTGACCTAAATCATGACTCAATTTCAGACGGATAGAAAATAAATGAAAACAAACCTATTACGATCTATTTAGAATTCTATTCAGAGTGCACAAGTTATTACAGCAAATAAAGTTGCGCATTGTATGATTAAAAGCATTTTAATGCAGCCTGCAGCAGCCAATCGCAAAAGGGGTGAAGTCGAAGTCCACAGCCGAGTCATTCGCTGATTAATCCAGATGCTCACATAAAAAATCATAAATTTACATTCATCTTGTAGCCAAAAGAGCGCAATGAATCCTGGAGTTCTGGTGCTGTGTAAGACTATGTGCTGACAGTGTGTAATTCATCCATGGGCTTTTTGTTGAAGTGAGCAGGATTCATTTTTTAAAGGGGTCGAATCTGCTTTCGGGTCATGTGAATTTGTTTAGATGAGTTGAGTCGTAATTGTCCCTCCCCCCTCCCCCCCACAGGGCGCACACCGGACCGTCTTCACCCGGGAGCTATGGACACCTCCGGACTGCTTTGCTCCAACACGGCCCCCTCTTCCTGGAACGGACCCAAGGGCTCAACGTTTTCACCGGGAGCGTGGAACGAGCCGTACAGCTACAGCGCCAACAAAGGCCCGGCGGTGCCGCCGAAACAGCACAGCGTGCTCGGAGGCGCCGGAGGGGGGGCGCGGGACGGGGTGATGTTGGTGAGCTCGGGACAGTCGGTGGTCTCGCATTCCAGTTCCTTCACGTCCATGACGAACCCTTCCGGGAGAGGAGGGAGCAACACCATGGCGACAATGGGGAAGCGGAGCGAGACGGAAGGGGCGGCGGAGGCAGACGGCGGGAGAGGAGGTGTGGTCACGGAGGCGCTGAGAGGGCGGGAGAGGTCGGCGCGTTCCATAGCGGCGGCCAACGCCTTCAAGTTTCGGGAGCGTTCGCTTTCCACGCCCACGGACCCAGGTTCCTTCGGCTTCACGGAAGGTGGTTTGGGCCCGCCAGACGGGAACGGGAATGCCATGGCGGTAGCGGACCGGCAACAGCAGCATCATAACTTCTTGGGTTCGGGCGAGAACTACGCCCTTCTTTACCCGAGAGGGAGCTCCGAAGACAGCACCAGCACCGGCGACACAATCTCCGTCACGGCCTCGGACTACAGCGCTGACGGCCGCTTGCGCCTACGCTCCCGCTCCATCTCGCTGAAGAAGTCCAAACGCAAGCCGCCCCCCCCTGTGAGGAGTGTGTCTCTCATGAAGAACCTCGGAGAAGCCGAGGGGCAGATCCGACGCGGGGGCAGCCTTTACCGGGATGGTCGGCCCAAGAGCCTGCACATCCCCAGGGACCACTTCACGGACTTTCAGGCCGATTTCCTCCTGACGAACTCGTCCTGCTCCTCTAAACCCAATCGAGTTGTAGAGCAGGAGATGGGCCGTGGAGGCACCGATGGACCTCCAAGCCTGGAGGTCCAGGCACCCGAGAGGGAGGGAGAGCCAGAGCTGACCTTCCCCAATCACTGGCAGCTGGGCGAGTGGAAGAATGACCCTTACAGGTAGGAAATTAAATCTTTTCTGGTTATTTCAGAATTTCTAATCGACTTCAAGATGTTTGTTTGGGTGAAGACTAGAATGACTTCTCGTCTCTTCCAGGTCTTTATCAGGCTCCAGCACAGCAACAGGTACGACAGTGATTGAATGCATGAAAGTCAGAGGCAGCTCGGAGTCCCTGCTCGATTCCCCCTCCACCTCCAGAGCCACTTCTCCCTCACAGCTCTCCATGGACACTGACATCAAGGCGCCCTCGCCCTTCAAACCCCTGGGACTTATGTCCCCCTCAAGTGGCTATTCTAGCCAGTCAGAGACTCCCACCCCTACTGTTCCTCTCAGTCACATGGCAGGTCACGGGACAATAGGGACACAGGGTTGTAAGTTGCGTCCAAAGATCCCAGAAAGAAAATCATCACTACCGTCGCCGAAGGACCCGTCTGGGAGGTCTAGGTTATCCTTTGAGATGCCTGGGAATGCACATATGGAGCTGTCGTCAATCAAGCCAAAGCCAAAGGCCAGCCGGCGACATTCTGACACCTCGATGGCCGCAAAGCCGGGGAAAGTCAGCCCCAGCTCCTCGCAGACGTTGCCTGTAGTTACCCAAAATGAGCTGAAGACTATCCGGCTTCGTTCCGTCTCCCGCGGGGACTTGGAGGACTGCCCTGATGGGGCTTCTGACACCATTGAAGAGGAACAGCACGGCCGAGAGTTAGACGAGGACCCCAGCCCGCCACCCACCCTACCCAAACCCAAACCACCTGTCGCCGTCAAACCCCCGTTGCCCAAGCGGCCCATTAACCTCCTTCTTAAGTCTCCTTCCCCGTCATCAACCTCCCCCCTAGCTCTCGATTCACCTCCTGGCTCACCCGTGGACCGGCCTGTGCCCCTAGGCAACATCTACGAAGTAATGAGGAAACAAAACCCAAGAAACCGCCTCCACAAACGAGTCCCTCAGTTCTTCCAGATCCTACCGGTACTCCACAAACCACCTATGATCATCCATTCCTCCCCTACTCCCATTCCTCTTCGATCTCCTTCCTCTTCCGGACCTCAGCCTCTCTCGAAGACCCGACGATGGAGCCTGATTTGGCGTGGACCCGGAAATTTGTCTTGGTCCTGGGGACGGAGGGTCGCTCCCTTCTCCCTGCAGCGACCAGGAGGCTCTGGAGCTCCTGAACAAAAGCAAGACCCTCCCCTCGAGGATGACAATCTCCTGTCTGGCAGAGCTGTCTGACAAAAAGAAACCCAAGGTGAGGAAGACATGCCTTGGAGGGAGCTTTATTTTAGGGCTGTCGTTTAGTGTGCCGAAGTAGACAAAGTAGAAATACAGTTCACACAGGTACACACTTCACAAGTGTTTAAATAGTTTAACTCACGTCTTGTCATTCCGTTCCAGGTTCCTCCTCCAGTCCCCAAGAAGCCCAACGTCCTGCTTCTTCCCTCATCGGTCCATCCCTCAACCAATGGTGGCGCAGAGCGCCCGACCCCACAGGCCGACAGCCCCGTGGGTCTCCGCTCTCCCGGTGTTCCTGACATGCTGGAGCAAGACGAAAACCATGTGGGAATGGACGAGGACAGTTCAAAGGAGTCATCTGTTCATTCGTCCCTGCATGATTCGTCCCTCACAGAGCTGGAGGGGAAAATGGCTGGCGCTGGGATTGGGGCAGGTGGGTTTTTAGGGGAGAGGGGGGCTCTTTCAAAAAGAAATGCCTAATACTCTTTTATCTTCAGAGTTTTTCATATTTATGTGTTTGCTGATCACCTGTCAGGGCTGCTATGGTTGATTAGGATTCTTTCCCGCCGTGTTTGATGCATAACGTCCTCCTCCGGCTCCAAAGCTTGATTGCTCTAAAAATTGGATATAATCTAAACAGAGGCTGCTTCCCACTGTTTGTGACAGTGAAGAAGACAATCATCCCTAATTATCTAATTACTACCCTGTATTATGAATATTGGCCATTGGTGTATAACTTCTCTCATCTCGTTCAGATGACTCCGCGTTTAACGAGAAGACGATACTCCACATCGCCGAGGAAACGGACGAAGCCGCGTCGGCCGGCTCGCCCTCGACGCACACCACCGAAGACCTGTTCACCATCATCCACAGGTTTGAATGTGCACACGTAACACACAGGTCTGAGACACTGACTATCACAATGATTTCACAGCAGATGCTTTTCCTCAGGAGGCAGACGGAAAGGTGCTTTGTTGAATTAATAGCAAAAAATGTACTCTAGCCCCGATGTGATGGAAAGACGCTTTGCCTCGTTGAAAAGGCGTGTGACCGGCCGAGCACGAGGTTCCCTAGCAACGGCTAAACGTGCGCTGTGCCACCGCTAGTCTCTAAGCAACAAGTGCTCATGATGTTACCTTGCATGAAGCTTAAAATAGTGTAAAAGCCAGCGAGGTAAAATGAAGGAGGGAGGGGGGCGGGGGGGGTGGAGAGCCTTCTGTGGTTAACTGGTCACTTTCACGCGTAGTTCACAGGTAGATTGCTGAGATAACTTTTCAGGCTGACTAGTGATTTTACACTAGTCAAGCAGGGTATTACCTACTCCTAGGGGTATTTCCTACTCGCGTCCCCTCACACATGCCCAAACAAATGCTAGAATAGACGGGGGGTCCAGCAGGCCGCCATTAAAACAGAGCAAGAGGAAGATAAGGGTAGTAGACTACTCGTAAAGAGCCTTTGGTGGTCCAGTGCCAATGTTCTTTTGATATATTTATTAGTTATCAAGTCACCTGGGTGATCAATGGCGTGAATGCTAAGCCACAAATAATTCGCAGGCTACGTCATCAGAGAACTCATTTCATGTGTGGAAGGAGTTGAGGAGTTCATTTCAAATTATGAATTGAGGCATCTGCAAATGGTGCAGGATGTAAATGTGCTTGTTTATCTCACCATTCTTTCTCCTCCTCTCTTTGCCAAGGTCCAAGCGAAAGGTTCTGGGTCGCAAGGAGCCGACGGACTCCTTCGGCAGCCGGCAGAGCCTTGTGTCCCCGGTGAAGCACAGCACCAGCGGCGGCGACCTCCGAAACATGACCTTGGGCAGCCAGCGGTCGAGCTCCCGCAACGAGAACTTCATGGCCCTGCTACAGAAGAAAGGCAGCAAGTCCACCGGCGGCGGCGCCCGAGTCTCCGCCATGGAGCTCCTCAAAAGCACAAACCCTCTGGCGCGACGGGTCACAGAGTTTTCGACACCCTCGGCGGCGAGCGGCGAGGAGGGGGACGAGGCGTCCGGGAACGGCAAACCCAACGATCAATGAACGGGAGGTATCGGTAGCGGGTGTTCAGACCGGGTCCGCTCGCTTGTCGACAAAAGCTACTGACCGATACCAAGAGGTGCCGCCCGAAGCAGAACGGGCGCCTTTTTGACTGATGTGTCCGATTGGCTCGCTCCAACTACTGATTGACCATTTGCGTTTTTTTCCGGGGATGAAATGGTCCCTCCCACGGTTTAAGCGCTTATTGTTCCCTGTCAAACCAGCCCCTGGAGGAAGAAAAGATCTGCGGAGAGGTTTTCTGGTGTTTCCCTCCGTCCTCTGGGATCTGCTCAGCGTGGAGGCTGGAGGCTGGAGACGGAGCGGACAACAGGAATATGAGGATCCAACAAAGATATCGTGGATATCCCCTCCTGGACCAGGACAACACGAGTCCCAGGTGGCAACCACGGCCATGTATATGAATCTACAAGCAGCTCTCGTTGAGCCACAAGGATACCACAGAGGATCGGTCACCAAATAAAGATAAACAGAATACAAATTCAGAATATGTCGGACTTCCAAGCGATTCGTCTACGATTCAAGCAAAGCCCCCCGGGCCGGCAGGACTACAGTGCCGACACCTGTCGACCCACATGAAGAGTAAATTATTGATGTAAGAAAACATCTTCACAGCTCCTCCGGTCTCTGGGGAGCTCCCACTGCAGGCATCAGCCTCTCCATGACCGGAGCGCAGGATTTACAAAGACCAAACCCCATTGGGGTGGGGGGGGGGTGTAGGGAGGAGGGGCTTTTTGCCACCAAAGATTTGACGCATGGGCATGTCACACATTTCATTGCTCGTGCCACGGACACGAACGCGGACCTCCGAAAAACAATCCGCAGACGCAAGCACTTTTTTTTCCCCCCCCGCATTTGCTTTGTTTGGGTTTTTTGTTTTTCCTCTCTCACATTTATCCCTGCACACGCCAGATGGCGTGTTCTGTACATGCTCAATTGGACCGTGCGGTGCGTCTCATGTACAGAGGTAAACGTGACGCGTCTTGCTGACGGATAGCATCGCGGACACAAGGACTAAAAATAGTGTACAGCAAGGAGCTCCGACTACCAACTGAACACAAGATGGAAGGAACGAAACACGGACCAACGTCAACAGTGTGTGAGTGTTTGTGTGTCTGTGTGTGTGTGTGTGTGTGTGCGCAGATGAAATCTAGCCTGTGGAGTTTCTGTAC